AAGATATTATACATTGTTAGATCGAGAAACTGCAGCTACATAATAATTTATACGGTTCACCGTGATATTTAAGAGAGATATGAGAATATTTATTTTATTCGGTGAACAAACACGCAGACTTCGTCTCTGTCGGCGGTCACCATTTTTTCTCCATCGTTTTTACCTATTTTTTTTTTTTTTTTTTAAGGAAAGTAACATGTACAAAAATAAATATGATATTTAAACGGTTTGATAACTATAAGCTTAAATAGGTAGTATTACGGGTAAAAAATAAAATAAAAACACGTTTAAAATAAAATAATATAACAATGTATACATATTATTTTTATGTTTTATATTTCTGGTAAAAAATGCTTTCGTACCGCGTCGGATTGGTTTTTATAAATATTATCGAAGTCACTTAAATTAAAACATCGTATATTATGCATTGAAAATTGTAATGCGCAGAAATTATAATTAAACCGAAGGGATTTGTCGTTTCAACATCACGAAAACCCTCTTTACTTACTACATGCGTTTATTCATCGCACTCGATTTCAATGAAATCTTTTGTTGTTTTTTTTTTTTATATAAGGTGGGATAGGGGGAGCGTTTAGGTTTTGCTTTTGAGATTCGCTGAATTTCGTTTAAGAATTTTCGCATTTACGTTTTGAACGCAAATTTCTTATTTTAGTCTTAAAACTATCTCATATATCATTCGTCTTAATTCGTGATGCAACGAATCCACTGAACGAGTAATATTAGTACAATATCATACTTTTATCTGGATGTAGAAAAGTTAAAATACAACATATACACGGTATGTAGCGTATTACCATAATAACAATCCGTGTCTTGTGAAACAATATTATAATAGACGACTTATTAGGGAGTTCTGTACATTATTACAGTGAATTGGTTTCGTTATTGGTGAAAAAAAAAACATCCGAATTTATCATTATTATTGTAGCCAATGCAGGTCACGATAGAAATCGTTCTACTACGTGTTTTTCGCATTAATATTGGTTATTAGATCTATGCGAATTGTAAAAATGATTTTGTTTTAGACATTTCGCTAAAGTATATATGGTCAAGTTAAATTTTAGGCGTGCTACAGCTATACCGATAGTGTTGTACGATTCAATGAGACAATGTAAATTGTTACAGTTACAATTGTTGCCCTTCTCTTTTTTTTTCTAATCCGAGTTTACAAATCGATTTTCACCGCTGCGTTTTTGTCGGTGCAATCACCGCGGTTGCAGATTTCAACACATCATCGTATATTATTATAATACACATATATTATACCGATCTCTCGTTTCTTTCCCACCGTTTATATTGTATTTTCATTATAAAAAAAAAAAAGAAAAAAAAAAAACCGTATAGATAGTTTTAATGAACGTTTATTAACGCAATTTCAGCGTATATCCTTAGTTTCCCGCGCATTTAAATGCAATTTAAACATTGTATAATAATTGCTATACCCGACGCTGCGGGCGATGATGTCGCGTACTTAAAGTGTGTTACGCAACAGATATAAATTATTAAAAAAGTGCGTATATTATATTTTCCTCAAATGACTTTGCTCGTTTATTCATAAAAGTATAATAAATTAAACGTGTGTCCGCGTATGTGTATATAATTTTTCTGATGGTGATCGAATACGCTAAGCCGATTGCTGCAGCTCCGACTCAAAAAAAAGCTTTATATTTTTTTTAAATATTGTTAAAACAATCGGAATTTCATGAATTTTAGTTTTTACTTTCAAATAAATGTATACATTGTCAATTTTGTTAATTTTTGTACACGTGTTTTGTAATAACCCATTAATTACAATAATATTATAAGATCATATATCATGACCAATACCCGCCACCTGTACGTTGAGCTGTACAATTATGTTATAAATCATTTAAGATTTATGATACGAAATTGGAAACATTTCAATGTGTTCAATTTTGGGATGCCTGTTCTATACATAACAAGAAATAAAATAGCTCCATCGCCATAGGCAAAAACTACGGATCAGGCCAGTCAGGCCATTGTTTGACCTAATACTGACTGGATATAACAGGCTGATTAACTGACTAAGTAGAACTTTAAATTAAAAATTTAACTTTTGTATTTTAAATGAAGAAAATTTTTTATTTAAATTTATATAAATACACACATCATAATGCATGACGGGTAATGCATTCGTACCTACTGTAAATGCGGGTTCGAAATTCCTTGAAAATCAATCATAGCTACACAATTTGACGTTTATTTTTATGTTTTATCTATCAAGTAATAATTTGTTTTTTTTTTTTCATTACAAATGGATTATGATCGATAACTTAACCTATTAAAGAGTATTTTGATTACAATTTTGTTCAAATTTATCATTTGGCCTGTTTTAGTTTGATAAATTGTCTAGTTTCGTTATATAACGCCCGTCATTGTCTATATAGTCTACACAGCACGTGCTTACCTCGACTATACGTTATCCGGGTTTGTGTTTAGTAATACCTATTAATTGTCGAGCCACGCGCGCGTACACAAAGAGGAAAACTGTATATATACCTATAAAATATCTCAGTGTACTTATAGTTATTTAAATGTCACATCACGACAAAACGACGACGTAAACCTCCGACTTTATACGCGCACGGTGGCGTTGGTGAGTCCTCGGGAAATATTATACGTATAATTACATTAAAAATTTGTTTTACGATTGTTTTCTTTTCCGGCCATATATATTAGTACAGTGAGAAAATGAGTATAGCCCGGCGATCGCGTACATATTAAAGATTTAAGTTTCGTTTAGAAACGATAAACATTGTATATTACAATATACTGTAGTACCTTTTTTCCCCCCTCAAAACGCCGCGGGTGCGCATTTCGTATACTCTTCGGGTGAGTAAATTATAATAGATAATCGCTATTTATCATCGGGTATTAGTTGGTATACCGCGTCATCATTATTATCGTCGTCGTCGTCGTCGTATATTATATTGGTTTATAGGCTCTGAACCATCGTTTTGTTCTCATAATGAATATTCACTTCTCCCTGCATTAAAAGAAAAAAAAAAAACTTCCAAGACAGACGCCCAATCTCGATATGTTTAGATTTAATTGGCCATACTTGAGTGGGATTCACACTGACCAATCGGTGACAAGAGCAATCGCGTACGAACATACATCAATTAGACGCATCTCGACAATGATATAATTAATTAAACGAAAAAAAGTCGAAATAATTCAATTTTTGTTATTTTTATACGCACCGTAAACATTTTGTTAAACCCGTCGATTAATAATACCTAACATATTGATTTTTTATTTTCAAATATTAACAACGCAAACTGTTTCAAATTGACTAAAACTATTTTATTCCCACCCATTTTGTCTGCATATCGATCTCGTTTCCGGTTTCGGGATGTAGTTGACTCGTAAAAAAAATCTACACGTTAATTTGTTGTGTCCGTCTTACAAACCTACAATACATCAAATTTGTGTTTAACAAAACTAATTTCGAGCTGACAATTTTAGTATTAGAGTGAATTAACCATTGAATCCATTAATCCATTAATCCATTGAAATTTGATATATTATCAAACTTCAATGGATAAAAATTATTTGTATTTGTACGATGATTATTATCGTAATTAAACATTTTAAGCGAGATAAAATATCAAAATTTAAAAATGTTTATGCCTCAAAAAATTTTAAATACCGGGAAAACGCTGACGTATAAACACAGATAATGATTTTACTTGAAAGTTCAATAATAACACCAGTCGATTCGCTATAATATTGAAACTAAAAGCGCAAAATCGACGGCGCTAAATGCGATATTTTACCGGGTATGTTGTGCGTTTGTATAATAATATACACAGGAAACAAAGAGAACGAATAGACGAACGTCTATAGCTTCCGCTCTCGAAACGCACGCTAAACCCGTCCAAAAGCTCTGAATCCCAATAGGGCTGTTATTATTCTGTATAGAGGACGCGGGTTTTTATGTCCGTTTTTTCCTTTCCTCCCGCCGGACTCCGGACTGCACTTTGCCATTTGAACACGGAAAACCTTCTTACTGAAAAACCAAAAAAAAAAAAAAAAACCCAACGTGTACAATCGCGATAAATTTTAATTATACCCGTGCCGGTGTAACGCCATCACTGCGCACCGGATTACGACGACGGGACGTGCGCCGCCGCGTCGCCGGTTCTCATTTTTCCAGAGCCGATCGCACGGTTCTGCTGCCGCCGCCACTGCCGCTGCCACCGGATCGTATTGATTTTTCGTCCTCTCCGCCGAGCGTGGGCGGAATATATAATGTGACGCGAGCGTGCGCGTGTTCCGAGCCCCCTGTATATTTGATGCGTGCCCGGCGGATTTAGGTCAAAACACAGCTTCCGATTTTCGCGAAAGTCGTCATGCCGCGTTTTCACCGCCGCCGTCGTCTTGTTACATTATTTCGTCCGTCAGCAAACCGTACGATATCACGCACTGTATCCACAGGCACAACTGGGAGGGGGAGGGGGTACTAAGAAGTCTTTGGCACACCAAAAAATACCCGATAAGCTCTTAGTTATATTATAGACTAAATATTTTTTAGCCATTTATTGTTTCATATAATTAATTAGCAAAACAAAATACAGATTACCTATAGCATATGTGTAGTGTATATAAAAAAAAATTTAAAAAATGTAAATGAAATGTGTATAGACGCTTATTATATAATAAGTGTCGTGTAAAGGGGATTTCGGGGGCATTGTCTCTATGCGTCTGTGACGTGTCTATAACGTCAGAACTCCCAAAGTTGGTGGTCTAGTTGCGTCTATGACACTATTATAATATTATCATCGCCGTGTTTATAATAAGTTTTGAAACAATTTTCTCGGCGTCGCGTATTCCATCTGCAATACACAAAAACGTACAATACGCAAATTATAGTATAAACGTTATATTGGCGCATAAAAACCACTAAAAATATACCAAAAGTACAATAAATTATCGTTTATTATTTTCGCGCATTCGGACAACCCGTCATATACGTCATAATAATATATAGAATTTTACGAATATTTTTATATTTATATAAAATACTATATTTCGCTAATAATTAGGCTCGCTTCTGGACCAATGTTTAAATTGAATACAATTTTATATTGCCGAATTTGTTAGAGTAAATCAGATACAGCACGGAATGCCCGATTTCCTCCTCGGAAACGATAGAGAATGACCTCCAAAAGAATAATAGTTCGTTGCCGGATAGATTCGGTTTTTACTTTTCGTGTTCGGTTTACCGAAAATCACTCAAATATAATAGCGCTCTAATAATCGAAATGTGTAAAACACGCAAATATAAAATTATAATATTTCGTATTAAGACTTTTTTTAGATCGCGTATCTTCACAACAGTATATTTATATACGAGTATATATAATATATTAACATCTGCTGTTTTTTGAATTATTAAAGAAAAAAAAAATTAAAATTCATATACTATAAATGACTCTAACCCCATAATAATATTATTGTACTTGTCGTAGAATACACGGAATAATTAACATAGTAGCCAAGATTTTTTTTTTTTTTTGCTGACCATGAATACTGGAGCGAGTTTTTACAGGTATAATTTTTGTTGTACAAAATTTATATAAAAAACCGCCACCGCAATAATCGATATTATCGTAAAATTTCGTTAACTACGTTAATTTGAATATTATAAATGCATATTTACTCTGGATTTATAAAAAACACAATTTCATGAAGAAAAAAATTTAATCATACGATATGCAGTTGAACGTCCAAATCGGTGATAGATATTTCAAAACGATGTATATGCATATATTTTTTTTAAACCAGTTTACATAGGTAGTTGTTTGATCAAAAAAAAAAAAAAAATATTTAAATATACATGTATTTGTACTTTTTTCTTCTAAAAACCGGTTTAGACATTTAGAATTTGCTGCGTGCACTATTTTATATTATGTATTATGATATTATATTAATCTACAGTACGTTAGATAGATATCGCGCGTGTCATTGCGAGTCGATTTGTTAAAAAAAACATACACGGTTATTGTAGGTAGCTGTCCGGACAAAATTATAATATTTTCAAGTGAATAGAGAAGTCGGTAGGAAAAGTGTATTAATTTAATCCGACTTTTAACGCACCGGTATATCCGGTGTGAATTTTCCGACTACCGAAAACTACCCCCGAAACGTACATTTATAATATTATGTAATATATTTGCGTATAAAAAATAATGTGTATTCTGACAAATTTCTTTAACTAAATTGATATGAGAGATATTGTATCATTAATATACTAAAGGTGTATACCATGCGGGTTTAGTCGACGATAAAAATAAACAAAATAGAGTGTTAATTTAATTCCCGGCGAAAAAATTAACCGGATACTCACATTCAAATTAAAACAAGAACCATTAAAAAATACATTATAAGTAATCTAAAAAAAAAAAAAAACAAAAAAAATAAAATTAAGCTGTAAAAAAACAACTTTTTATTTAAGTATATAAGTAGACACCGCGAACTTAGTTAATTTTAACTTTTCAACTTTGTTTATTATTATGGTCCCCGTCAATTTTTGATTATTTTTGTAAATATTTTCATTATAAAAATATAAAAATGCGTCACCGTTTCGGCAGTGGCGTAGCCTAACCAGGCCTGGTAGGGCGGGGCCTACCCATTTTTCTAAAAAAAATTAACACAATTTTAAAATCAAAAATTTATATTAGTATTCACTTGTATTTAAACATTTATATAATTTTATCTGACCTACCCCTAGCCTCTGCGTTTCGGGTTTATTTCGAAATTTTTATTTTTGATATTTCCAACTCGGTTATTATTATTCATTAACAATATTAATACTATGGCTTTTGAAATATTAATTTTGATTATAATAATGAACCCGGAACGCTTAGAATAAAAAAGACGGACATACTTCGCACTATGGTCGGGCCACTGTGGTAAGGTGAAAAGTTGGGGAGGTAGGATATTGAAAGGAATTCATGATAGGTGTAATATATAATATTATGTTTGGACTCGCTTTCAATCATTTTGGTTATTTCACGTAATGTTTTTTATTTACGCGATATATAGCTGTACTTTTGTGCTATTCACATTTTGTATCCTTTTTATCCTCCTTCAAAATAAAATAAAATACAATATATTTTATTTATAAGTAATGACGTAAAAGCGTGTAGCCGTATCAAAAATACATCTATATTTATGAAAATTAAAAAAAAAAAAAAATAATACGGACATACTTTTTGCACGATGGGTACAGTATGGGGAGTTGGAAAAGTAGATTATAGAGGATAGTTTAATTTATATTTGTGTACGCAGCGATAAACGATTGCAATTCGGAGCGAAATTGCAATTATACAATATGTACGTACATTTTCCCGTTTTTTTTTTGATTTTCCCGTTTTTTTTTGATTTTCCCGATTATTATGAAAACTGTTCGGAAAATCAAAAAAATGATATACACGATAATAAGCTCTTCGGTCCATATTGATAATATATAATATATTGTTGAAATTTCACAAATACAGTGTGTAGTGATCAGTTTTATCAGTTACCCGATAGTATTATATAAGGAATAAATTGAAATTCAAAAAATGTTTCTTATATGTATTCATTCAGATTAATTGATTACCAGCGAGCATACATTGTATTCGTTGTCCAATGCATTGATACTTGCTATACTGTTGTTGAAGTATTTTAATAAATCATCAGTTTTAAAACAACAACACTTCATCGCTCAATATAGAATATATTAGCCCTTTTAACTATTATTGCATACACAATAACTGTTGTGATGCCCTCTTAAGATTGCACTTCGGTTATTTATTAGCAACACGATAAATTATTGTTACTATTGACTATGGTATGTTTCAAATTTCAAATATATGTTCGGTGGCAGCTCTCGTCGAAAAAAATGCGTGTTGCTGAGGACATTTCTGAGGCCTCGGCCGTCCGCCTTCATAAATCGTAAAGACCGTAATGGCGTAAACAAGTACATATATTATATTAAGTATAAAACTAGAAAATGTATAAAAATAAATCAATCCCCATTAAGTTACAAATTTAATTAGACACCGCCAAATCGTGTTACCGAACTGCATATACGTATATTGCTGAGGTAATATTTGGACCACAGGATGGCCAATTCGGAGATTTTAGTGAAGATTTTACGATAAATTGAAACTTTTTGTTTAACCTTACGATAATAAATCCCATAATTATAACTAGAAATGCATTTGATGACAGTATACTTATTTGCTTTATCGAAATATTTACAAAGTAATTATTTTTTTTGTATAACCTTCAGACAAATTTGTTTTTTTTAATGCGTTTAAAACGATTGTTTGCTTCAATAAATTAGTGATTGCAAACACAATTAGGTAGAAAAATAATAATTGTCGATATTACAAATTCTGACCGTCATTTTTTTCTGATTTCACTGATGTAAATACAATTACATTTCAAAAAAACCGATTTAAAGAGGCCGGTGTCCGGACACACCCAAAAAACCTCCCTCGATCACGCTACTGTATCGATTTAGATTGGAAATCGTTCCGTTGACCAACATTTCCATAATATCTGAAATTGTCGTTGCGTAAACTCGTATATTTTTACGTGCAAAAACCTTCGACGGATTACGTCGCACGAATATAATGAAGACATTATTCGAACGTTTTTTTATACCGGATTATTCTATAAACGGACTCGTATATTATTATAACAGTCGCGCGTTTTATATTATTGTACACCTGCGTATAGAAATCGTAAATAGAAAAAAAAAAAAATTTAAAAACCGTCGCCCGGCCGGCGCACAAAAGGTCAAATTGCGATATATAAATGTATATTAAGAAACAATACCGTCGGACATTACGTCGGCTGCAACACCCGAAGGTGATATAAAATAACATATTATACAGGCACCCGTCTACTTAATAATAATATTATTAATCCGACGACGACGATTGATCAATTGAAATCGAAATTCGACTGTATACTATTATAGTATAGTATATTATTATTTTTACGGCACCTATTTAAAGGATCTGCTCGTGGTTTTTTTTTTTTACGAATTGTTAATATTATTTAATTACTAATTGTTAAAATTTGCAATTAAAACGTCGTAAAAAATTATTAACGAAAACTCAACGAGTTTTAATTTTTGTATTAAGAGACCCGCACAAAACATCGGTCTTATTCAAATTCTAATGTTATAGCGTTCGGGAATATTATAATTCATTTACAAAATCAAAGTTCAATACGTCTTGTAAAAAGAATAAAGATTGTTATCGGACTATAATTCCCCCAAGACATCAGCAGTGACTGCGACTGATGGAATTATTCATTTTTTTTTTTATAGTAATTGACGTTATTTTTGATTTTGCCCTCACAATATTTCTTTCTGTTTTTAACGCTACATACATCGATTTAAGTGGACGAGAACCAAGCTGCAGGAAATTTACATCCATACTGTAGGTTCTTCTAATTGCCGTTCTCAAAAACGTACCTATTCACCCAGTGGTGTGCTCAGGAATTTTCAATGGGAGAGTATGTAACAAATAAAAATCATGAAAAAAGAGTGAAATCGTTTTCTCTACCCAACTCAATTATTGAATTGGTTATTTAAAAGCCGGATCCTAAAAAAGCCAATTTCTAATCAATACATCAAGCTTTTTCTCGGTAATCGACCGAAATTTATGAGTTTCGATATTAGATTACTGATATTTTGTTGTATTTTCAAACTAATGGGGGTATATAACCCTTAACCCTCCCCCCTAGGCACAACACTGCGTTCACCGTATATTTTCAAAATGCCACCGTTCAAGTATTAACTATATTCAGAACACATTGCATATAATATAGAGTGCATGTTATACGATTTTTTTAAACCTAAACAATTTTCGTTACGTCATCGTGGCTCTGACATCGCGGAACGCTCGAAATAGTACACAGAGATTGTTGCAGTGTGCAGTTATGCCAGCCACTTTAAGTCCTGTCGGAATCGTACGGACATATTATAATGTTATTTTACGCGCCTACACAATAAATCCATACAGTAAATCGCATCGGGTACGGTAGGTATTAGTTTTCATTTGTTTTTATTTCTATTCTTTAATGCAATATTTGGATAGCTGCCGAATAGCGTTCCCCTTATCGCCTCTCTCTTCCGGGCGTCGTACCCGTGATTTTCGTATGCACGAGCGCGCGCACGCGAAAGGCTCTTCAGCGGTCTTTCGACCGCGCACAAAGGCATTTCGGTCGATAGAACTCGCTTGATTTTGATTTAAAAGTAGATCTACCTATAACGAAATTAAAAGAAGACGATATTATAATAATATATAGGCTGCAAGACGATGCGTTACTGCTATTATTCCGGTCATAGCGTAGTTCAATATACATCGTTTAATAACGAAAATCTAATTTATCGTTTTTAAACGACAGTAACACATAACAAAAAAAAAAGAATCGCATAACTCGCCCTTCGGAAGTCCGTTCTCTCTTAATTTTATAATACTTTGAAACCAAAATCGAGCGAGTTCTAGACTTTTCAATATAGATTTTATTTCAGATTTAGGTGGATTATTGATGTATCCCGTTAGTCGCCCGTTAGTCGGACTGAGACAACACACCCGGGCGTAGCGTACACTTAACGGTCGCTCGAACGATGTTAAAATAAAATTGGCGTGGACTCGGTAATATTATAATAGTAAATACGAGAAAGAAACGTTATTTATCGCGAGCGATACGCTCGTACGTTATACACTTTAGGTGATGCTTATGTACCTACACGATATATTATTATTATTATTATTATTATTATATTATAAATTACAAACGCGATAATCCGTAATACGAGTATTTTCGGCGTTTGAAGAATGCACAGAATTATAATGTTATTATATTTAGTTGCGCGCGGTGTGTTTGTAATAACACGCGTAGTGCGCGCCGTACTTAAAAACGTCGTCGACACGGCGTTACGGCGATGGTCTAAATTCATTACACGTGCCGTGCGGGACAAAATTATCACACAAACAATGACAGTGAATATAATATAATGTCATTTATTATTACAATCAACGACTAATATTACTCACTTTTAGATTCTGAGCGGAGCGACAAGAAACGTATCGTGGTTTTACAACGATGTGGTAAAATTTTTCACCAGAAGTCTTGCTCCGATTTTCAAGTGTAGCACGTTTTCCGAAAGAAAATTTTATACGAATGGTACTTTAAAAATATTTTTTTTTTAATTTTCTCGGGGTTTTTCATAATAAATGGGAAAAACGCGGGGAAAATTACGAAACGTATTATTTTCAATTTTGTTTTTTGTTGCGAATCAGTTAAAAATATTCTCAGCGACCTGAAATTTGGACAGAAAACTTATACGATTTGCCTTTTCTGGATGTGATAAAATTTAAAAAATATTTTAGTCATTTTTGAGCTATTTATAGACATTTAAATTTTAAGTGTTTTTTTCGTAATTTTTATTCGTTAAGTACATATAAAATTGTTGGACCAAATAGAAATGCTTCAAAATTTAACGGGAAGTTCATTATAAATCGTAATTTGTGGTAACAAAAAAAATTAAGTATAATATAGAATTTTTTATATGAAATTTTAATATCAAATCTGACGAAAATCGTGTAATATTATACAACATTGAAAACCTGCATTTGAAAACATGTATAACCGAATACCACTCGTAATCATTTTTCGTTAGCAATAATTTATCGTTGCGTATACAAATATGAATTAAATTATCCTTCACAACCTACCTTCCTAACTTCTCACCTACAACAGTGGCCCATCCATCATACAAAGTATGTCCGTCTTTTTTAAATTTTTTTTTAACTATCACTTTCCTGTTATTATTATTATTTTTATTATTTCGTTATGAATGATAGTTTTTACTGACATCATTCCTACAGAATTTCATATTCTTCTCGTTGTATACACAACGTTAAAAATTTTAAATTATTAAAATCTTATCGACCCCAAAATGGACTGTATCACAGAACGCCCAAAAATACCTTCTTTCTTGAATTCAATAAAACGTTGTTCGATCGAGCAATTCTAAACAGTCTGTAAAATAAATTAAATGCACACATAAATATTAGATTTATTTATAGGAACCGTCGTATTTGGCATAAACAGGATTCTTTGTAATAGTTTAGTAGCTGTGATCGAGACAGGCTCTATTTAAAGAATAAGGCCTTAAGGGATGACTCTTAGGAACATTAAAGACACTGGAGATAAAAAATTGCGGAGGACTGCGGGAATAGGTTTTGTTTTAGTCTTGAGGGCCGAAGTCAAGCCGAAGAAAAAATGATTATAATCGAGTAAATCAAGAGTGAATTTTTGATTGGATTTTTCTCCTGGCCCACTTTGCTGCAAAATATGCGTATCGATAACTGTCGCCTAAATATACAAATGTGGCAGCAGTAACTCATGGTTTGTACGACGACTGCGATTGTGTACGCGTTATTGACTTCATCATGAAAAAAACGGCTCTGAAACAGAAAACAAAAAAAAAAAAACAAATAAATTAACTGAAAAAGGTTTTGGTCGATATTAAACGAAATAGCAAAAATAAAAAAAAAATACAAAAAATAAGCGACTGTGATTATACTATATTATATTATTAGAGACCGGGAGACGTCTTAATCCCAAAACATAAATATATGTACATTATATTATAAAAGATATAGCGATCTCAGATTTATAGTTGGTCCGGATTACTGGGGGCAGGAGACATCGCATTTGAATTGGTAATTTGGACGGACGAACGGTAGTGCCGGGCAAGCTTCCCTGGAAACATGCCATTCTATTTTCTCTCTCCCACTCACTCTCCTCTCTCTCTCTCTCTCTCTCTCTCTCTCTCTCTCTCTCTCTCTCCCTCTCTCTCCCGACTATTTCTCCGTCGTGATGCTTCCGACTCGTATTTTGGGTCTTATTATTATTAGTATTATTTTTTTATTTTAGATTTTTCGTATATTTGTCGGTCTTTTGTATCGCGGGTATTTCTATCTCTATGTTTTTTTCTTCTTTATCAAACGTTGCAAGAACGACGTCGTCGGTACGGACCAGAGAGTTACGATAATGTATATGGAAAAGAAATAAATAATATTCCGAACGGTCACCGCCCCGCGCGGCGTCGCCGTTCCGACCTACTCGATCGTGACTACTCGAATTTCTATATTATATTCATCGGCGACCGCACATAATATATTAGCTACGGATCACAATATTGAATATATATATATATATATGTTTTTTTTTTTTTTTTAACGAACAAAATACCGCAGTTTTAAATTGCGAAACACGCAACGTCTGTAGGCGGTACGCTGGAAATTCTCGCGTTTCCGTTTTATTTTTATTATTTTTTTTTTTTTTTATATTACGATGCCATTTGAATATTTTGTTATATTACATGTCGCCGTGCGAAAAGTGTCCGAGTGTCCACGATGTCAACTTGTCGGTAAACCGCAATTACAATATTCGCAATAATATTTTGAACGGTCTCACAAATTTAGACATTTTCAGGACGAAATAATATTACCTCACCCGTTAGGAATTCAATCCTTTCATTTTTTCATGACTCCCAAACAGTTTCAAAGTATCACGGATACCTGGCTCTCGCACCGGACCCTTCAAATGCGTATGTTTCATAATAGCTCGGGGAACGTTGAAAAACCAAAAAAAAAAAAATAATAATAATTAAACTAATAAGAAACCGATAAAATAGCAAAATAAATTATACAAAAAACAATATGCACTATATCAATATTGGCTAATATATTATTTTAAATTTTCCGTGATTTTTTTTTTACACGATGATATAATATATATGTTCGCCCGAAATACACGCTATTATTATATACAGTCGTATTTTCGAATTTTTCAAATTAATCACTTTCATCATGTTTGATCGTGTAATCTTTTCGACGTGAACACCGTTTTACAACAGATTATCACGTCTATATGCGTGTATCGTCGTAAACATACGCAGTTGTAGATCCAACTTTATTATGCGAGATAATGATAAATCTTTCGGCACGCATGAACGTTTTAATATGTATTTTTTTTTCTTCTAAACCGCTTAAACTTACAGTTATAAACGCATCGTGGCCGGTTGACACGTCTTTAGATGAAACGGTATAGAAACGCGTTTCTCGATTAATTTATTACCGTACGATACATTACGATGAAATTATGATTAAAAAAAAAAAAAAAAACAAGTCGTATATTGTACGTAACGTTTAATGGTTCCATCGATTACGGAATTGTTTTAATAATCACAACGCGAGAAATGCATTTACTATAATAATACTGTATAGGCGTTCCCTTATGCATATTTTTGTTTAATTTATTAAAAGTAACGATTATATTTGCATATTTCTGCACTAAAGTATATTATTATCTACAGACAGAGGTACAAACCGATTTTAAATCTATTAACAAACGATTTATTATTCGATACGTCGTCTGTATTATGTAGTATGATATAATTTATGATCCTGGTCTTTTTAGGCCGATATAAAACCCAATCGCGTTATATATGAGAAATATAAATGCGATTCGTATTTATATTATAGCCTGTATAAATTTAAAAAATAATATGTGATATTGTGAAAAACTGATGAAAATAGCGTTGAAATAAATTAAAAAGTAAACGTT